GATATCAAAATCCTGAACCTCTACTTTACTGATCCAACCAATACTCAAGGACGGTCTCAATACCTGTTAAGAAAAAAAAAATCATAATCTAAAGTGTGTGGTTGGGGTGGAGGTGGTGGTAGTAGGTGTTACGATGTTGTTCCTACCATACAGAGTATAGCCTGACAAGTACCATAATAAAGCACTGGGATAAATGCAGTAATGTTATTGTTATCATTTGAGTGATTGATTTTGTCAAAGCATCTATAAATACCCACAATTTAATTTAAAAATATTATTTCCTTTCTTTTCTTTCTCTCTCTCTCTGTCTCTCTCTCTCTCTCTCTCTCTCTCTCTCTCTCTCTCTCTCTCTCTCTCTCTCTCTCTCGGAAACAGATAAACTTTAGCCAAAAGTTTCCAACCTCATTTGTGCAAGTAGATTTAGTCTAAATATATGCTTGCTGCCTGGATTTCTCTCTCTCCCTGCCCCTGCTGCATCTCATATCCAAGGAACATAAATTTTAATGAAGGAAAGCATTTTGGTGAGAACTATGAGTTTGGGATCCATTGGCAGAAGGAGAAATATCGGACCTGAGTTTTATTTTCTGGTCTGTTATCAATTTGCTATGTGAACTGGAGTCACTCTTCCTACCAGAAGTACAGTTTCCCCTGAGCCACAGACTTCTTCATATTCAAAAGTAGTAGAATTAGAGCTTCTATATGCCTTTTCACCTAAATGCAGAATAGGAAGTGAGAATTAATAAAACAATTTTGAAAATGCTTTAGATTTCTTAGAAAGAAGGAAAATATGGGCCAGTAGAATCCTGAAATAAGTAGAGGTATGATGCTATCGAGATGCAGGCACACACACACACACATATACAAAAACATGTACATGTATATATGTATGTACATATGCACACACGCAAACATATATGTTGTTGTTCAGTTGTATTTGACTTTTGTGATTTTTGGACCCCAAATAGGGTTTTCTTGGCAAAGATACTAGAGTGGTTTGCATTTCTTTCTCCAGCACATTTTATAGATGCAGAATCTGAGTCAAAAACTTACCCAGAGTCACACTGCTAACAAGTGTGTGAAGGTGAATTTAAACTCATGAAGAGGAGTTTTTCTGACTGTAGGCTTGATGCTCTATTCACTGCACCACCTAGCTGTGTGTACACACACATCCACACACACCTACATGCATATATACATACATATATATATACACACAAACATATATAATACACATATATACAAACATATGGGATAGGTGTATATTTATTTGTATGTATGTATGCATAAATGTAGATATATAGGTATGTATATATAAATATATACATATATAATTTCAAGAAAGTCATAAATGAATACTGTAATGATAATATAATCAATAATAATCATAATGATATCATAAAGAATTTTAATTTAGATCTAGGAAGGACCTAAAAGCCATCTAGTCCAACCCTTCATTTTGCAGAAGAAAAATGAGGCCAAGAGAGATTGAGTTACTTACCTAAGGTCAACCAGTTAGTAAGTGGTAGAACGTAGATTTGAATCCAAGTCCTATAACTAAATGCAGCATTTTTTTCACTCTACCACAGCTGTCCAAACATCGTTAGGTAGTAACAGTAACAAGCAGGGGAGATTCAAGTCAGTCTAGCTGAAGCAGAAAGGCAGAGGCAGCACATACCAGGTGAGTCAAATGGTCAGCTACACTTCAGTGGTCATCCCCCTCAGACCCTGAAGGAGTTGTGCCAGGACTCTGAGAATAGCTGTATCCCACAGACCACTCAAGCTGCTTCCAACCTGGGCCCCATGGGGCCAATCTTCCTAGCCAATACCAACATCAGTAGATGACTACCATTAGTGTGAAGATGTGTCTTAGAGCCCAGAACTGACAGTATCCCCTAGATCACCCATCTTGTTTCTGGCCAAACCCATGAAGGCATCTTCCTTAGAAGCAACTCCTGTGATGACAAGAACTGGAAGCTGGTTCCATGGGTGCCGCAGTCTCTGCCTCTTCAGGAAAGAAGACCAGGAAAAGAAAATTCTAACCACCAAAACCTCTGCCCTGTCATATGTTTCAACATCAGAAGCAGATAGGATTTTGTAAGCAAAAATAATCCATTTGTTTTAGAGATATGTTATAAAGGACTATGAGACCTTTCCAGCTGAACCAAAACTGAAACCTGTTATTTGTGTTGTCTCCCACATGAGCTCCTTGAGAGTGGGGTTGACTTCACCTTTCTGTTCTGATGCTTTGCGAATAGAAAGACTATGTGTTTTTCATTCATTCATTCAACTATTCAAGTGGTTATCTTCAGCATAATCAAATGTGACTCTATTTCATTACTTGTAGTATGCTTAAATAGAGAACAGGCTTGAGTAAGCCAGTATGTATATAAACATGATGGGGAGGGGGGCAAAAGGAGAAGAGGAGAGAATCAGTTAAAGTCACCTAAAGTTGGTTAGGCCTAGTAAGAATAGTATGAGCTCTACTGTCAGAAAACCTGAATTCATGAGCTCAGCTCTGTCATTTACTTGGATTCCATCTTTGCACAAGTTGATTCCCTTCTCTTAGCTTCATCTGCAGAATGTTGAGGTTACACTAGGTGGTTGCTAAGGTTCCCTATTCACTAACATTCTGTTAAACTGAAAATGGGTAATTAAAAGATAACTTATGTTTAAAAGGCAACCAATACTATGTGTTTATCTTTTCCAAACGGGTTTCCACATACCCATCCATTATCCCAGAACGTTGTTACGGCTAATTCATGTTTACCACCTGGCAAAGTATGGACCACTCAAACCCTCATGTTTCAAAAGACCAATAAGGCCTTGAGAGTTTAGATCTCCTATGGAACATGTCCTTTATGAGCCTTCTTAGATACAGTATGAAAAGGACTCTCCAGGGAAGTAAACTTTCCTTTTAAGAAATGGGAAGGGGCCATAGAAGAGCTCAAAAAGGATTTTGAGAAGCAAGTAAGAGAAGTAGAGGAAAAACAGAGTGATGCTAAAGGAGACCCAAAAAAATACTGAAGAAAATAACACCTTAAAAAATAGCCTAACCCAAATGGCAAAAGAGGTCCAAAAAGCCAATGAGGAGAAGAATCCCCTAAAAAGCAAAACTGGCTAAATGGAAAAGGAAGTCCAAAAGCTTACTGAAGAAAATACTTCCTTAAAAATTAGAATGGAGCAATTGGAAGCTAGTAACTATATGAGAAATCAAGGCACTGTAAAACTAATCCAAAAGAATGAAAAAATAGAAGACAATGTGAACTATCTCATTGGAAAACAGATCCACGAGAGAGAACTTAAAAATTATTGGGCTATCTGAAAACCATCATCAAAAAAAGAGCCTAGATATCATCTTTCAAGAAATTATCAAGGAAAACTGCCCTGATATTTTAGAACCAGAGGGCAAAATAGAAATTGAAAGAATCCACTGATCTCCCCCTGAAAGAGATTCCCAAAGAAAAATTCCTAGGAATATTGTAGCCAAATTCCAGAATTCCCAGGTCAAAGAGAAAATATTACAGGCAGCCAGAAAGAAACAATTCAAGTATTGTGGAAACACAATCAGGATAACACAAGATTTAGTACATTCTATATTACGGGATGGGAGGGAATGGAGTATGATATTCAGGAGGGCAAAAGAGATGGGATTGCTGCCAAGAATCACCTACCCAGCAAAACTGAGTATAATCCTTAAGGGTAAAAAATGGTCATTCAGTAAATAGGGGACTTTCAAGCATTCCTGAGAAAAAGACCAGAGCTGAATACAGAATTTGACTTTCAAATACAAGACTCAAGTGAAGCATGGAAGAGGTGAACAGGAAAGAAAAATCAATAAGAGATTTGTTAAGGTTGGACTGTTTACATTCCTGCATGGAAAGATGATATTTGTAACTCATGAGTCCTTTGTCAGTATTAGGGTAGTGGGAGGGAAAAAAAAATTGTATGTATGTATAGATGGATAGAGAGATCGATAGATAGATAGATAGATAGATAGATAGATAGATAGATAGATAGATAGATGGAGGGCACAGGGTGAGTTGAAGATGAAGGGGTGATATCTGGAAAATAAAATTAAGGGGTGAGAAAGAATTATATTGGGAGAAAGAGAAAAGTAAAACGGGGTAAATTGTCTCACATGAAACAGACAAGAAAAGTCTTTTACATGGAGGGGAAATGGGGGAAGGTGAGAGGCAATGAGTGAATCTTATTGTCATAGGATTTGGCATAAGGAGGGAATAACACACACAATGGGCTATGGAAATCTATCTTACCCTACAGGAAAATACAGGGGAAAGGGGACGAGAGCAGGAGGTTGATAGAGGAGAGGGCAGATTGGGGGAGGGGATAATCAGAGGCAAAGACTTCTGAGGAGGGACAGGGTCAAAAGAGAATAGAATAAATGGGGGGGTAGGAGAGGATGAAGGGAAATATACTTAGTTTTTTACAACATGACTACTGTGGAAGTGTTATGCATGACTACACATCTATAGTCTGTATCGGGATGCTTGTCTTTTCAATGAAGGTGGGTGGGGAGGGAGGAAGGGAGAAAATTCTTAACCCAAAGTTTTAAAAACACATGTTAAATTTTTTTTAATTATAAAATTTTTTAAAAAGAGTTTAGCACAGTACCTACTTAATAAATATTGATTGACTGCTTTATGGTAAAAAAAAAAACGGGAAGGGGAAGGGAATAACCATTTATGTAGCACTTACTATGTGCCAGTCACTGTGCTAAGTGCTGCATAAATATCATGATTCTCACAAAAACCTCTTGAGGTAAATACTATTATCATACACATTTTACAATGAGGAACTGGGGCAAAGAGAGGTTAAGTGATCTGTACAAGGTCACACAGCTAATAAATGTCTAAAGCTAGACTTCAACTCAGTTCTTCCTAAATCTGCCTCTAAGAATAAATCTGTAGAACATAGAAATTTTAAAGGACAGGAATCAAATCTTGAAAGTAATTCATTCATTCTTTCACCTCTCGTTTCAGTTGAGCAAACATTTATCCCGTACCTAAAGACATCCAAGACAATGTGCCAGGAGCTGGAGTTCCAGAGGCCAAAACGGAAAAGCAGGTGCTGTTATGATGCCTGCAGCCTCCTGGGAAAAGAAAATGTGCACAGATAAGTCAATATAAAGTAAATACAAACTAGATTGTGCTGCTGAGTTTCTGGGGAGTAATGTTTAGGAAACAATCTAGGACTTGAAGTTACTGAGCCAGGGTTCAAATACGGCTTCTGCTACTTACTTCATGTATGACCTTGGGTGAATCTTTTAATCTCTCGGCCTCAGATTGTTCATTTGTTCAAATAAGAGGATTAGGCAAGATTAGAGGTTCCCAAACTTATTTGGCCCACCACTCCTTTAAAAACAAATTACTCAGCACATTCCCTGAAAATCTACTTTCTTTAACCACTTAAAAGTTTTTTTTTTATTTGAGTCATTTAAAAAAATATGACGTGTAGGGTTTTTAATGACATATCCACTAATGCATTGTTGGTGGAGTTATGAATTGATCCAATCATTCTGGAGAACAATTTGGAACTATTCCCCAAGGGCTATCAAACTGTGCATACCCTTTGACCCAGTAAGACCACTTCTAGGTCTATATCCCAAAGAGATCATAAAAATGGGAAAAAGACCCACATATACAAAAATATTTATAGCAGCTCTTTTTGTGGTGGCAAGGAGTTGGAAATTGAGGGGATGCTTATCAATTGGGAAATGACTGAACAGGTTGTGGTATATGAATGTTATGGAATGCTATTGTTCCATAAGAATTGATGAGCAGATGTATTTCAGAAAAAAAAAAATAACTCAAAAGACTTATATGAACTGATGCTGAGTGAAGTGAGCAGAAGCAGGAGAACATTGTACACAGTAACAGTCACATTATGCTATGACAAACTTTGCTAGATGTATCTCTTCTTGGCAATGCGAGGATGTAAGACAACACTAAAGGACTAATGATGGAAAATGCTGTCCACATCCAGAAGTAGAACTGTGGAGTCTGAATGTGGATTGTAGCACATTATTTGCTCTCTCTATCCTTTTTGTTTGTTTGTTTCTTCTCTCATGGATTCTCCCATTGTTTCTAACTCTTCTTTACAGCAAGACTAATGTGAAAATAGGTTTAAAAAAATTAAATGTCTTGCACAGAAAAAAAAAACAGAAAAAATAACCTTCTACATGATACGAAATATACCCATCCAAATTATATTTTAGTCAATTCTCATGAGAGACAGCTGGAAAAAAAGGCAAATAGAGAAAGAGATAGATATAAATAGATAGATATGTAAGCATATGTGTATATATGTACAAATACATATATACACACATATGTGTGTATGCCTCAGACTCATAAGATCTGAATTTGACTCTCAGTTCTTAAACTTACTGACTGTATTACCATAGAGAAGTAATTTCCACTTTCTTATGTGTTAATCTTCTCCTCTGTAAAAATAAGAATTGTAATACACTACCTACCTCACTATTTCATAGCATTACTGTGATGAAAGCATAAGTTGCTTTGTAAACACTTTGAAAGTACTTTGTAAATCTTAAAAAGTTATTGAAAAATGAGCTATTACACTTATTATGATATTTCTATAATGGACAATTTTTGTTTAAAAAATGGGGAATTTTAAAATAGAAAATAAAATAGAACTGGATTTTTAAAATGACACATCTTAAATTTAATACTGTATTGTAAATTTCTGGTTTTATTTTTTTTTCCCTGCACTGAAATTTTGATGATGCAGTATTAGGTCATGTAACTGTAGCAATATGATAATATGATTGTTTACAAAAACATGTCATTACGTGCATATATTCCTGCTGATTCGTACTGGACTTCCTAACATTGTGCAACACACTTGCCTACCAATACTTGCTTGTTAAGACTTGTTGGCAGACTTGAACACTGATTTGTTATAACTTTCATTTTGTGTGTTTATTTGAAAATAATGTAAACACTATGACTTTATCTCTGTTACACAACAGATGAAATATGTACGAATGTTTTTTCAAAATTATTTTTTCTTCTTTCCTTATGTTTCCACTGCCCCATTATATTTTTTCAATAGCCCCCAATTACACCCAAGGCTACTACTGCCCCCCCCAATCATTCCAGTACCCCACAGGGGGCAGTATCACCCACTTTGAGAACCTATGGACTAGATATTCTCTCAGATCTCTATAAGCTAAAATGATCATCCAGTGGTAATAGTAGAAAATTATTTAAAGAGAAAGAAAATCCTAAAACAGCAATAGGAAAAGCCTCATATAAGAAGATCTCCACCTAAACCAGTGGTGTTAAGTTCAAATAGAAACTGAACAGCTAAATCATACATAAGGATCCCTACTAGTTTGAGAATACATATATGCAGATACATGCATATATGTACACACACACACACACACATATATATATATACATACATATATGTATATGTATATATGTATATATATATATATATATATATATATATATATATATAATATATATATATATATATATATATATATATATATATATATATATAATTGCATTTTTATTTATTTTGTGAAATTTTTCCCAATTACATTTTAATTTGGTTTGGGAGGCACTCAGGAACATTGTGGGTCATGATGTACGTTTGAGACCTCTGATCTAAACTTTATATTGAAGCAAGTTATAGGATCTAAAAAGCAAAAGTTTAGGGTGTATGCCATGGATGTTGACAATGGATTTTTGGGTACCAAGTTCAACAATCAGTTTAACTACAAAGGTGAGTGTGAGAAGCAATGACATGGAATAAGTTTGAAGTGGTAGGTGGGAATATGTTTTAATAATTTATTTTTGCTTTCTTATCCTAAAGTTACTTACAGAATGAAAAATTGACTTTGCATCAGGAAAGCTTCATTCATATGACATTTCTTCCATTAGCAAGTAATATGCCCTTGAATAAATCAATTCCCATTTGAGCCTTGTTTTCTTTAAAAAGGAGATTTTTTTTTTGCATTGGAATAATGGTTAGAGGGTTGGCTTCAAAATCAAGATCTTGGTTCAAGTTTGTGGTATGTTGACTGTGTGATCTTGAACAAGTCAAAATCTCTCAGCATTCTCCAAATCTCTGCAAGTCTATGCAGTTGTAGATGAAGTGTCTACCTGCATTGGCAGAAGGAAATTCTACATGTCAATGAAATCATAGTTTCATTGTGATGAACCCTTATCTCTACTTCTACCTCACAATGTCATGAGAATAGAATGAGAATCTTGTAAGCACACACACACACAAAAACTATTTAAATGTAACTTGCTATTGCTTCTTGTGTTCCTGACATATATCTGCCAAGGGGCCAAAAATACCAACAAACAGGAATAAACAGTTAATCCTGGGTATCCTACAGGTGGAATAACTACTAGGGAAGAAATAATTGTAATATTCTAAAAGTTACTGTGATGTTCTATTCCCTCTTCTCCCCTCAGTCCAGTCTCTCTCTGTCTCTATCTCTGTCTCTCTCTGTCTCTCTGTCCTCCAGTCTTTCCTTCTCCCTCTCTTCTTTATTTATTTATTTTTGATAGTTATTTTTCCCCGGTTGAATGCAAATATAGTTTTCAACATTCATTATTGTAAAATCTTGAGTTCCAAATTTTCTCCCTTCCTCCCTTCCCTGTCCCCTCCACAGGACAGCAAGCAATCTGATGTAGGTTATACATGTGCAATCATGTTAAACATATTTCCACATTAGTCATGCTGTGAAAGAAGAATCAGAACAAAAAGGAAAAGCCATGAGAAAAAAAAAAGCAAAAAAGTGAAAACAGTATGCTTCAATCAGACTCCATAGTTCTTTCTCTGGATAAGGCTAGCATTTTCCATCATGAGTCTTTTGGAATTGTCTTGGATTATTATATTACTGCAATGAGCTGAGTCTATAATAGTTAATCATCACACAATGTTGTTGTTGCTATGTATAATGTTCTCCTGGTTCTGCTCCCTTCACTCAGCATCAGTTCACATAAGTCCAGGTTTTTCTGAAATTCACTTGCTTATCATTTCTTATAGCATGATAGTATTCCATTACATTCATATACACAACTTGTTCAGCCATTCCCCAAGTGATGGTCATCACCTCAATTTCCTAATCTTTGCCGCCACAAAAAGAGCTGCTGTATTTCTTTTTTTGTGTGTGCATATGGGACCTTTTCCCTTTTTTATGATCTCTTTGGGATATAGGCCTGTTAGTGGTATTGTCTCTCTCTAATATTTACTCACATACACATAGACATGAAGATAAACTGATAAACTCTCAGAGAGATTTTTCTGTAAGTTCCTAATTATCACTTGTTGATGGCAGTTATTAAAATCACGTGTATGCAGACCTAGGGCAGCTAAGTGGAACAGTGGAGAGAATTCCAGACCTGGAGTAGTGAAGGCCTGAGTTCAAATTCAGCCTCAGAAACTTACTGGCTGTGTGACCCTGAGAAAGTCACTTAACCAAGTCACTTAAACCTGTTTGCCTCAGTTTCCTCAACTGTCAATGAGCTGGAGAAGGAAATGGCCAGTCACTCTAGTATTTTTGCCAAGAAAATCTCAAATGGGGTCATAATGAATAGGACACAACTGAACGACCACACATTTTATTCCTCATGGATGCTCACAGTCTATTTGCAGATAAAAATACTACTCTCAGTAGTCTTGCTTCCATAAAGTCATGAATAAATTATCAAACAAAGAAGACACAGGCTGAGATAGTGGCTTTAATTCCTGAGGAAGAGCCTATGTATACTAAGAACCATTTGGAAATGCAAATGTTCTATGAAGTCCCACTGTCAAGTCATAAGGAAGGGTCACCAGATGGATTGGCACTTAAGAAACAGGGAGCTTCTTCTCCAACTCTTAGCACACAAGAAAAATGAAAATGTGATTAAACCAACCATGTTCAACATAGCTCTGTTTTTATCTTTTTACACATTACCTTTTCTAAAAGAAAAGTTTTTTAAATGATGCTATTACTTTAATAGCTTCCATTTGCATTCTGCATTTCCATTGTGCCAGTTATATGATTCCCCTTAAATGGTGAAAATTGTGGGCCTCATGGCTATTTTAATGTGATGCCTTTTATACTGTAATTGAGTGGAGTCTCCAATGACTAA